AAAATACCGCAAGCCAGCCATCCAGGCCAGGTCAGCAAGCCAGGTAGTCGGCCAGCCAGGTATCCAGCAAGCCATTCAAGCCAGGTATCGAGCCAGCGAGCCAGGTAAACAGGCCACGACCATCAACCGCGCCGCGCCGCGCCACGCCGCACCGACAGACAAGGCCCCCGTCCGCATCCCTCCGTTCCCATCCCAACGCAACCCGCAATCCTTCCCCTACCCAGCCCCAGCAACCCAGCAAGCCAACACGCCCATTCTCCCTTTTTCGACGCGCCGCGCCCGAAGCGGAAGGTGCGGGCGGCCGGAACGGGACAGGCGAGGCCGGGGTGGGGGGGTTCCGCCCGGGGCGCGCAAAGCCGCGCCCGCACGCCTTCGTGCCTGCCCTGAGCCAGCCTGGCCCTGGAACCTGAGCTGAGCGCGCAATCACTAATCGTCGTGCGCGAGTGGACGAGCTGCGAGTGCGTGACTCGCCGTCCGTCACTTCTGCTGCCGCTGCCGTCCGCACCGCCGGGTTCGCGCAAGCGGATTGCTGATCGCTGATCGCTGATCGCTGGTAGGGACGAGGGAGGGTCGGTGCTGCGCCAGCAAGCAAGCAGGCAGGCATGCGAGCGTGCGAGCGCGCGCGCGTGCGGCGTGCAGCTTGGCTGGCGTGTCTGGCCTGGCTGGCCTGGCCCGACCTGCATAGATAGGTAAGTAGGTGGACCGCCGCCTACGTACATACTACGTAGGGGCTTAGAGGGATGTGCGTGGGAGCGCTCAAGCGTGCAAGCGTGCAAGCAATCAAGCAAGCAAGCCAGCTGCTGCCGGATCGGTCGTGGCGAGCCACGGGTGGATGGGCGGCGGGCGGCCTCAAACGTGGACGCGCGGGCAGGGCAAGGCAGGGCAGGGCAAGCTCAAGAGCGGGTGCGGGTACGGGTACGGGTGCGGGTGGACGAGGGGAGGCGGCCATGGTCAGCTACCCAAGGTAGGTAGGCGTGGAGTGGGCATAGCATGGAAAGGGCATGGCAATGGATGGCATCAAGGCGGGACGGACCGAGTCGACGCGTCGGGGAAGGGATCCAGGGAACGCCAGGGAAAAAAGCTACCTAGGTTTGCTTTACGGCAAGGGCCTAGCACCAAGTTTGCGAGCGAAGGAAGGGCAAAAGGGGAAAGGGGAAAAAGATGGGCCGGCTTGGTTTGGCTTGGCTTGGCTTTTCGTGGGCTGCGATGGGAATAGCACTGGCCCGGACGGGACAGGAGCGCCCCGACGCGGCTGGCGGGCGCCGGATCAGGGAGCGCCAGCTCCGCACTTGGCGGCGGCAGCGGCGGGCGGTGGCCATTGGGCGGGCTGCTGGCGCTGCTGGTTTCGGCGGCTGGCGGTGCGTGCGGTGCGTGCGGTAGGTGTGTGTGTATCTATGGAGAAGGTCCACGGTGGAGGACGGCCTGCGTATGGCACGGACGGGATGGCCAGACGGGGGGGAATGCGTGTAGGTACTGTACGTCCGTCCGTCCACGTACGGAGGGGCGTATGCTAGGTACGAGGGAGGCTATAGCTAGCTAGGTAATGTACGAGTATCGATCGTATGTATGTACGTACGTATGTATGTATGTTAGGGATGCTTGCTTGTCTGGTTGGCGTGGGGGCGTGGATGCGCGGCCGGGCTCGGCAATGGCACGGATTGGGTAGGCTGCGTGCGCTGTTGCGTGGGCGCGGGAAGCTCGGGAGTTGGCCTTGCTGCTTGCTGAGCTGGGTTTGGTTTGGGTTGGGGGTTGGCTTTGTTTGGGGTGCGTGTGAGAGGGAGCGAGGGGAAATGAGCGTGTGACGGTGTGGGTGGGTGGTTGTCTGGGCTGCGGCGTGTGTGCTACCAGTCTGTTTTGGCTTTTTCTTGTCGGCCAACTGTGTTGTTCATGGAATGATGGCTTTTTTTTT